GTCTACTGTATTTTTAGTCTTAGTTTCACAGTTGAAGTAAATGTTTATCAAATAATATCTAATGGAACAACGGCTACCCTTTAATGGTTTACTGTCGTGCAAAATCCACTTTTTTAGCAATTAAATATATTTTGTAGAGGCTCTATGAGGGCAAAAAAGTTGAATATAGTCCGTCCTACTACAAAGATATCTTCATATTCTGTTTGGGTCATATTTTTCAGCCCATTCAGTTTTCTTTATTTTCTATCATGTTTTCTGAACTACCACGTCAAATAATCTGCAACGGAATTACCATATAAGGTCTTGTTATGGACTAATTATTTATATCTGTTTCATCTTGACGCTGTCCAGTACTCATCTTATGATAACTTCTTTCGGCTGTTAATCCGTTTGCCCCAGATGTCAGGACTCCAGCAAAGGATTGACCTCTCTTGTTTGACAAGTTAACTCTTTGGGGCTGAGAGCCATGTTATTGGTTAGGCAGTTATATTAGTCGGATTGTGATTGGTTATAAACTGTCACATGATGTTAACATGATGTTATATTATTGGCTATTTCCGCTGACGAGGCAGCCACAACCCGACAGACTTCCTGATTGACTTCTGTTTGCTTGTTGCTCTATATTAGTCATTTGATGACCATACAYGCAGACTTWCTGTGCATTTATTCCAACGTGTTTCTGCATTCTTGGTAAACTTGCCACGACAGATTTTTGGCGTTGTCGGCAGGATTTAACTTGCCACGACAGGTCTGTTAACTACAATCTCCTCGTCTTAATTCTCCTCTGGTTCTGGGTCAGACTCTGGTTCCAACATGTAAGGCTGGATGGACACATTTTCTGTTTCTGACATCTTTCAATGTAATTGTAAATAAATTGCTTCTGCCTCTCTAGAAAATGTAACTGGAGTGGACCGGTCTGGAAGCAGGAGGGGGTGGGGGGTTGAAGCATGTTGGAGGAAACAGTAACAAAACCAGCTACTTTGAGACACACACCAGAAAAGTGGTGAAAGAGGGGCTGGTAAAGTTAAGATAAGGAGGAATTCACACCAAAGCATAGTTCTACTTTATAAAGACCCCAATTGAATGATTTAAATGTGAAAATGAAGGATTTAAAAGCACATTTCTACTTTAAGTTTTCCTGTCACCAAGCATTTTTCACATAAGCTATACATCTTTTTTTCATGAATTAAAAAAAATTACAACTGTCAAGGTGATTACACGTGAATGCAAAGACTGTTTTTTTTAGTTAAGGTTCTCTTTTCAGCTTGTTTCCAGAGAAGGAAGTCAGAATATCCAATTACTCCTTTAAAACTTCCAAAAATAGCAGCTCCAATTTCAGCAATAATTTGCTGCATTTATTTGTCAAATGATGTTAGAAATGCTTTCCTGCAAGAAGACAAATAATTCCAGGGGATTACTTCAGACTAACAGAAGCTAATAGACTGAAGCAATGGGACGAGTTAATAGAATCTGCTGAAACGGTCCCGGGTGTTGGTATTAGTGAACCTAAATGGAGTTTGTCAAGCATGAAAACACAAAGCAGGTAATTTCACCCTATATAAWTTTTTTTAAATGTTATTTGCAAATAAAAATGATCAAACTCTAGCAGACATAAAAACCCTGTTTTGACTTTTAAATATTGTTTCCTTAGTGGAAGTGAACTGAATAATTCAGCTTGAGTACAATAAGAAATGTTAGACYACACTTCAAGCCTTTGTGGGTAATGGGTTCAAACTGTAGACAGAAAGGCTAAAGTACTTTAAAAGATAAAGGACATGCTAATTTCATCTCACCACCGCAAACCCCAAAACACATTACGGCAAAGGCTGGTTCACCCCAAAGACCCGGTGCCCCGGCACAAACAGAGCAATGTTGTATATGTTGTTAAGTGCCAAGAGGACTGCGACCAGTTATACATCGGGGAAACAAAGCAGCCACTGTTCAAAAAATTTCCCAACACAGACGAGCTACGTCTAATGGCCAGAACTCTGCAGTTTTCACTCATTTACAGGCCAGCGGTCACTCTTTCAGAGATGAGGAGGTTCTCATTCTTGATAG